TGGGATCGATATCGACGACATTTTGAGTTGACGACATCTCTCCTTTTCTCCCCCTTCGTCTCTCCTCCCTCCTCCTCATCCATGTATGTTGGGAACCTGGCACTTCTTCTCTGTGTGACAGCGCCAGGTCCCCCCCTCACACTGTGTGATGCTGATGATGATGTTCAGTCTGGGTCATGACATTGATTGCGTCTGATTATTGGTATTTCAGTCTTCCGCTGTGCTATCCTTACTACATCTGTGAGGGGTCGGTTCTTGCTTCTGGTTTGCACCATATTGGTATGCGACAGTTTGGTATACGGAGCAGACCTCTCAGATGAGGATCTGCCCAATCAAAGTTACCATCTTGATTAAGTCAGATCGATTGATTGATTAATTGATTGAATGGTTGATTGATTAATTGATTGATCGATTGATTGATTGATTAATTGACTGACCAAAATATATATATATATTCTTATGTTGTTTAGGTTGATACATTCGGGATTGATTACAAATTTGCCGCTGAACTTCTCGGAATTCCGTGAATTCCGCGAATTCCGCGAATTCCGCAAATTCCGCGAATTTCGGAATTCCGCAGATCTGTGAATTCCGGGAATCCGAAACCTGATTAGGGTTACAAGAATAATTAGAATTTAGAACTCTAATTAGGGTTAGTGGGAGAAATCCAGTTAGTAGGAATTGGCGAAATCTGTCGCAAAATCTGAATTTTATTTTGCTAAAAATAGTAAAATACGCAATTCCGGAATTAACGTTATTTTCGTTTCTGAAATTTTTCGCTTCTCGTTAACTGCCATCAACCTAAACTGTCAACTGGGTATYTGATAAGCCACTGACAATGCCTCATTGACATACGATTGACAGACATTCAAAAAAAAAAAAAAAAGACRATTCTTTTTCTTTTGATTAGTGGTCAGTATACGAATTGGAACTTGCAGTCCGGTCTGTTTGCCTGCCTGCATTGTTCCCTTCCTCTTCCTCTTCTTGTTTTCTCTCTGCTCRGCAAGTGCCAYGTCMGCAGGCGCCTCGTCAGCAAGCCYGAATGCCCAGGCGCAGCGCACGCATTGCTGCTCAACAACAGGCTGCAGTTTCGACACCCACCGAACCCCAACCAGCCCTCCGGACTACGCAGCCGACACGGCCACAACCATGGCCACGTCAGCCGCCGCCGAAGGTGCAGCGGTTTCGCAGGTTGGCAGTTCCGGTGCAGAACAGGGACCTGTTGGTCCCGTACTCACCATGCCAGGCCAACAGCCCGGCGAGTCCATCTCGGACTTTGCCGCCCGCGTCCTCGCTTTCAGTAAAATGGTGGAGGAAGAAGAACAGCGGCAGGCTGAGGCTGCAGCCGCATTAGAACAACAACAGCAGGAAGCCGTGGAGGCTCACCGTCGGCAGTCGGAGGCAGCAATTCATACCATCCTGCTGCAGAAAGAGTTGGAGTATGCAGCCATGCTGCGCGCTTGGCATTTTACCCCGTCRGATGGTCACAACCAACCATCGGTCGAAGAGAAGACAAAGGAAGAAGTTTCCAAGCTCCTCGCGAGACTTGTGCTGACCTGCCATTGGCAACAGCACGAGTTGCAGCGGCTCAAGCGCGTCATCGACGACATCCAGGACTCACAATGTCAAGCAAACAGAAGTTTTCATACGCGCCTCGACCACTTGGGACAAGACGCCGCCGCTTCAGCGAGCGCCGGACCAAGTAACAGCCAGCCGTCCACGCGAGAGTTGGAACAGCGGATTGACCATGTGGTTGCCACGATCGGCGACCTTGGCACGTTCGTGAGACCGGCAACGATCAGCCAACAGCTCACAGGGTTGAAGGCCGACGTCCGCACGCTGCAGCAAAGTCCTGCTGGTGGCACCCCGCGACCGTACAAAATGCCGAATTTCCGCATCGAGAAGTTTGACGACTTCACGAAGAACGATCCGCTTGCATRRTGGCAAGGGTTCACCACAGAAATCTCCATCCACGAGGTCCCCGAGCGCCTCAAGRTTGCGGCACTCTTATCTCAATTCCACCGGTGCGTGCCAAATCTGGCTCAACCACCTGGCGGTAAAGGGAGGGGTCAACATGGAGGATCTATACACCAGGCTGGATTGGGACACCTTCACCGCATTATGGATAGCGCGCTTCATCGTGCAAGACACGAAGGCGAAAGCCATAAATCAGTTGTTCAAGATGTTCCAAGGTGGCCAACCTACTCGCGATTGGTTGACCGAATGGGAAAAGATAATTGTCGTTCCGGACTTGAACTAGTCGTTTGAACACATCAGACGCGAGTTCTTCCAACGCTCGGTGGACTCCTTGACAGCAGCCCTTGGACAGATGGAAGAGTACGAGGACTTCGATGCAGTCGTCACCCRAGCTCGCACCATCATCCAAACCAATCGGYGGGCCGYCAACGAACGGCAAGRCCAACCGAATTTTGTGGAGAAAGGAAAAGGACAACGGACGCAGCCCGTCGCTGCAGTCCAAACAAAACGAAGACCCGGCATTGGCCCCAACGTCAAGTGAAGGAGACCAAGTCAACGCCCTTCTGCCACGACGCAACGCCACACGAAAAAAGAAGGCGAAACCAGCGTCGACGTCGGAAGCCGGACAGCCGAACCAGCCATGGACGAAGTTCAGTGTTACGGAGGACAATTACAAACTCTGCCAAAAGTACGGATATTGCTTTTGGTGCAATAGCACCAAGCATACTCCAACTCAATGCCCCGACAAGGGCAAAGACAATGTTCGTCAACRGCCTAGCTCGGAAAACTGAGCTCCGCGGGAAGTGAGGCGACTCCACTTCCCATTCCGCCGGACACGGTTGCCTTGCTAGCAACCTCCTAYGCGTCCGGGGAGCATGCGGATGTTGCAAGTCTTCGGGAAGATTTCGAAGACTATGTTGTCCAGCTGGTCCCTCCGTTGGACCTAACCCTCCACGTGCATGATGCTCACGTATGCGCGGTTTCTTTACCATCAACAAGCGAACCAGCTTTATTGCCGACAGTACTATCATCCAGGGACTCGTCGGTGTGGTCAAGACTTGGGGACCTCAATCCATTGACGACAAAATACTTCCAATGGTTGCCTCTTCCCCCATCGGGCTCACGGCCGAAGCCGCATTGCAACGCCTTGATGGCGGAGCTACGCAAGTATTTGCACGCTGCAGTACCAACTCTGTTGACGGACGACGGAGTAGCGATTGTTGACCTTCGCAAGTATATTGCGAAGATCGACTGCGAGTACGCCACGCAACGGTACGACGACATCGACGCGGCGATAGAAGTTCACCGGGTGGTCCTCGCTTCGCAGCCACGACATACCCAAGATCATGTCGAACTTGGTGTCCAAGATGTCGAAGGACATGGCCTCGCGTGCATGCAGGGCGAAGTACACGGTGCCGCATCGATGCACCGGTC